CTATTATGTTCATAACTATATTGTATCAAGTCACAGTAAAATAAACTTTGAATTATGAATAAGTTAATAAAAAAAGAAGTCATAACAAAAATAGTTTTTCCTTAATATGTTGGTGATTTTGAACATAGACAATTTCTAAACTGAATCAACATTATATTTTATATTCAATAGTATTTTTCAAAACATATTTAATACTTAAAATCAACTACTATCAGGTGGTTCAGAAAATTATCTGGGAAAATAGGGTGGTAAGCAAGAATTTAGACCAATTCCTAAAGAAAACTAAGATTTTTTTTTAGATGACATCTTGCCATCACATATTTAGATTTTGAACTAATGCAATAATTAGAACTACGGAGGAAAAATTAAGCATATTCTCTTCTTATAAAGCTTCTTGTAATCAAAACTTAAACTTCCATATGGAAAAAAAAAGTATGATAGTAATCATTTTAGACTTGTCTAGTCTACACACTCACAAGAAAACACACACATATACACACATGCATGCATGTGTGTGCACGCACGCACACACACACACACACACACACACACAGTGCCAACAAGCTAATACTGCATTAAGAGAATTTCTAATTTTGCTTCTGTTACATCATAGTTTCCAACATATTCTTTTCTTTTCAAGCACAGGGACTCTTTTATTATCATTGAAACAAAAACCTCTAGGAAAAGCAAGCGATAAATCAGAGGAGTTGCCGAGATAAGAAAATGTAAGAGAGATGGAGCAAAGCCATTTCATTTTATCTTATACAGCATGGAGGCCTATCTAAGAGTAAGAAAGCCCAAAGTCTGAGAAAATAGAAAGGGAAAAGCAGAAAGGAAATGGAAAGCTGTCGCAAAACTCATGCCTAACACATGGCAGTCTGCAGGGACTGCTCTGGTTTCCAATAAATTCTAAATCAAATGGCTCTGTGTACTTCTGCACTTCTTTTCTCTATAGGTCTTCTATTTCCTTTAAATACATAATATAATTAATTGTGGTGATAATTTTTCTGTGAGTAAAGTTGGCATGCATGACAGTAGTTACACTAATTAATCTTTACAATATTCCTTAAGAATCAGAGCTCTTGAACACACTTTTGTTTCTAGACTGTGATTGTCAGGGATCAGAGTCACTACACAATGCATCATCTTAATCTCTGTGTCATCTTAATCTCTGAGTTGCTCTCTCAAATACCAGAAAACATTTTTCTATATTTGCAATAACTATCATAAATCATGATGTAAAATTTTATCCTAGTTTGTTATTTTTTTTTGTGAAGGTGGTAAATTTTTTTATTGCTTATATCTGAGGTGGAACAAATTATGTCAGTTGCATTATGAATTTCTGTATTCAATTTGATCTAATAGACAGAACATCTGCCTCCCAATTAAACAACACAATAAATAAAATACACCCAACAGATTTCTCCTGAATCTTCTACCCAAACACCAAACATTATACATTCTACTTGGCAGCACATGGAAGCTTCACGAAAAGTCTACATACTGAGACATAAAACAAATATTCAGAAATGGAGAAATGTTGAAATAACAACATGTATCCTATCTATCACAATACAATAATAACACTTAAAACCAACAGCAAGAAAATATCCATGATATCTAAGTTCATAGGAATTGATATCTAAGTTCATAGGAATTGATATCTAAGTTCATAGGAACTGAACAGCACATTACAGAATGATGAATTGGTAAAGGAAGAAATAAAAAAGTAATACAATTCTTAGAATTAAATGAAAATCAAAACATTATAAAATAAGCTCTGGGACATGTAAAAAGTAATTTATAGCACTAAATTCGTAGATTTATAAAGAAAGATCACCAAAATGTTTTAATGATGAAAGTCAAGAAACTAGAAAAACAAAAGTAAAACAAAATCTAGCAGATAGTACTATATAATAATAATCAAAGAGTGCATTAATAAAATATAAGCAAAGACAACAATATAAAGAGGAAACAAACGTAAGACATGGCTCTACAAGAAGATAAGCAGGTTGTCAGACCTTGATCTGCTAACTAAAAAGATGAAAATGATGATACAAAATTAGCAGTACCAGAGATAAACAGGTAACTGAATACTAATGAAATACAAAGTACTTTAAGAAAATACCTAACAAACTTTATTCTAGAAAGTTAAGAAATCTAAAAGAATTGAACTATTTTCTAAATTCATTGAAACCACGAAACTAAAACAAGAAGATTAAAAAATTAAACATATTTTTACAAATAGGAGATTGAAAATTGTCTAGTAGTTTAAAAGTTTCAGGCCTAGATAAATTCACAGAAGAATTCTAATTTATTTTCAAGGACAATCTACAATAAATATTTCTTAAATTATTAAAAAATTAGAACAAACAGAACAGGTCCAAGATACTTCTAGAGAACAAAAAGTATATATATATATATATACATATATATATATTCAATTGTAATATATATGTGTGTAATATATATGTATATATACATATTAGAATTATGGAAACAGAGCCTTGAATTTGAAAGAGATATTGGTGAGAGAAAGTGTATGAAGAAATCATGTAATTTGATTATGAGCTCTAAAAAAAATGAAACAATCAAAAAATTAACCTCTAAGGAAAAAGTAGAAGACACTATATAAAAGGACCTCCCATGTTCATCAGTTTTAAAATTAATATTATGAAGCTGGTCATCATACCAAAATAATTTATGGAATTAATGTAGTAGCAAGCTAAATACACACAACATTCTTCAAATAAATAAAAAAAAGAAGGCTAAACTCCATATGGAACCATCTGAAAACCTAGACAGCCAAAGCAATTATGAGTACAAGAAAATAATACTGGTGGGATTTTATACCAGATTTCAACCTCTATCATCGAACTACACTGATAAAAAAAACAAGGTACTACTACAAAAGGAGACATATAGAACAAACAACCAATACCCAAACATAAGTACATATAACTATAGTCTTCTGGTATTTGACAAACATACTGAATATACAAAATGCAGAATCAACCATATTTTTTGGAATAAGTAAACGTCTGAAATAGAAGAAAGAAATTAGGCCCATATTTATCACCATGAATAAAATCGACCTTTAAATTGATCAAATATTCAACAGAAAAACTTATTGAAGTCATAGTGTCCAAATTTCAATCTAATGACATAATTGTTTTGAAAATAAATGGAAAGTTGAAGAGAGAACATGGACTGCCAGATGAAGAAGTAGAGTTATTAAAACAAAGAAGAGAGATGTAAGAAGACAAAAGTTATATTTATAATGCCGTAGTCACAGTATTCCTAGCTGATTTTGATAAACTGGAAAAGACAGATGAAATTCGGCAGCTAAAGAAATTCAAAGGTAGTAAAGCCCTGCTCAGCCTGTTGAAATGAGATTACTATATTCTAAAGTATAATCATAACTGATACCCCAAGTCCCTGAAGTGTGGCATATGGCTATGGTAACTCTGAGAGCCCTGCCCAGTAACTTTGCTATAGCATGTCCTTCACATTATTCAAATTATAAATATCCTTATGTGTTTATTAATAAAATTTCAGAAAACTCTAAAAGAAAAGAGAGAGGATAAAATATAGCAAAAGGATGACCTCTCCTATGATTATAATAAATCTTTGTTTTGACTTTGGTACATTTTCTTAGAGACCAGAACATACTCATTACTTCACAAATATGTCATGGTAGTATGTAACCACACGTTAAACATAATTTTCTTTGTTTCTTCATTAAACATGGATTTGAATGATTCATAAAATTATCTTTATTTTATTGGAAAATTTACCTACCATCTTAATATTTTGGTGTTTTAATTAATTCTTTGGAACTTTTATGAACTGTGTTTTAGTCGTGTATAGTATTTTGCTAATTACTCCCAGATTAATTGTTTCCCATTATTCCTGACCTTGTGTCTTGCACCGGACATGGTCACCTTACCAAAGAAAACACTCTTAAGGAAAACCAACTTTGTCTCCTAGTATCAATCAGTTATCAATAATTCCTCTGTTAGAGGTAGGACTTCATGTTCATATCTATGCTCCATCATTGAGTTTCTTCCAATGGGAACTTGTATATGCTGTCAAAACCTTGTTATGTCAACTGGTAACTGCCCTGTTTAATCAAGTATTCACAGTTCTATTGTAGTCATTCACCATCTCTGGCTTACACTCTTTCCACACCCTCCTCTGCAGTGATCCAGGTACCCTGGGAGAAAGTATGGTTCTATGTTTCAACAATAAATACTACAAATAAACAGAAGCCTTTTTGATGAGGGCTAGGAGATGGATTAACTTGTGTGTATAACGATAAGCCATGAGGAGTCAGCTTATTATTATGTATGTTTGTCCCGATTTAGAGCATGATGCCACTTCATATTAAAACTAATCTCCTTATCTCTTTCACCCCAAGCCTTGGCCACAATAATAAATTTCTTGGTGCTCTTTTTCTCCCAACTATATATTTCATATTTCTTTCTCCCCCACTTTCTCTTTCATAAAGTAGACCTGCATATTGAATTCAGTAATACTTATGCTACAGAATCAATATAATGCTGACTTAAAATTTCTCTATCCAAATAAATTAATTTATTATTGTTTTATTTAGCCTTAGGAAACTTTATGGAAGTGGGCATAGGAAGCTATATTTTTTTGCCAAAGCACCTCATGAATGCCCTTTAACCAAGTTGCTTCTGAATTTCTTGTTTCCGCTTTAGCTCTTATGATTACAACCTCTACAGTACACATTGATTTTTAGCACTATGACCTTCTAAGCACATCTAAAGTAGGCTCTTTAATCTGTTTACAGAATTCAACTGCTTTTCTAGTCCAAAATAGCAAAGCAGTCCACATTCCTCCAAAACCCAATACGGCCAAGCTCCTCATAGTAACTGTGCACTTTCTCTTGCCAAATTCTGCATTAGTTATTTTCTTTTGATGTGTTAAAAATACAATATAAAAGCAACATAAGGCAGAAACTTATTTGAACTAACCATTCCAAAAGATGTGAGGCCATCATTGCTAGGAGACATAGTATTGTAGGAGGCAAAGTGGTTGTAGCAGGTACGTAAAAGTTCCCATCTGGAAACAGAAGCATGAAACAAAGAGAACGAAATGAAAGCTTGAGGTTACATAATCTGAAAGCCCACCCCAAGGGACATACTTCCACAAAAAAAAAGCCTTCACCACAATGTCCATTAGCCAATATCCCTGAAACAAATATAATTTACCTTGATACACCTGAATGCCCAACCTGACAGCCCTCCTATCTTCTTCCTATTAGATATCTTACCATGTAAGCATTCTCTGTTACAGCATCTTAAAAGCCTGAATTAAACTTTCATTTTATCTTTCTGTCTTTTATTTTTATCATTCTTGTTCCCTTTTAGTTTTTCATCCTGTTCCATTTCTTCCATTACACAAGCCTATGACCCAATCTCTGCCTGACTTGATTTCTCTCTGGATCATCCTAGCATTTACTATACTTAACATTTTATATAACTCTGAATCCCTCTTTTCTTAATATCTAGAGTGTAGAAAAACTAATGTCACTTAGTTTTAAATATTCCGATTCATAAATTGATAAACATGTCTATGCACAATCCTGGGGTATGTGCAGTGACTTTTCTTTTATGACCTAGAGAAAGAACATATTTTCCACTCTGGATGTTAAGAAGCTCCGCCAATTGGGAGAGAGTCCATAGGTGGAGTTAAATTTTGGCAGTGATGTCCATCTTCTTAGTTTAGCCCAATTCCATAAAATGCACCCTCAACTTCTCTCTGAAGCCCAGAGAGAGAGAGAGTACAACTGTCTCATCCACATTCACAACCCCAAGTGACTCATTGTTCTCCTCCCAGCTAATCTTCAAAAATTTACTGTGCCTAACTACAACTTCTCACACAATTAACATTCTTAAAAGATCTGTTCTAGGTCAAAGACTTCTTTAGGACCCTTCTCCAAGATCTGAGATGGCTTAGTTACTCCATACTTTTAAACACCAAGTAGCTTCTGGAAATACAGGTAATTTGCAGTCTGGAAAATTTTCTCCATTAACAAGGCATTATTTTTATGCAAAATATTTTGACATATTAGTTATTAATTTATTTGTTTGAATTTTTGGAGAATAATATTATTAAAGGAAAAGTATAAAACATGTGAATTGTATTTATGTATCATATGACTTATAATTAACTTAAATGACTTGTACAGTGGGGAAAAAGCAAGAGAAGAAGACAGGAGAACAAAGGGGGCATTAATCCTGTCAGGATTTTTACACGATTAGAAATACTTACAGTTGTAAATTCTTATATTCATTTGAAATTGAGATAATGTTACTTGTATAGGATTCACCAGGCTGCGACTAAGTCATTCTTTCATAATCTAAACTTTGTACATGTGAGGCCTCTTTACCTGGTGATAATTCCACTATAAGGGAAATTTTATTTTAATTTAAATATATTGACCATTTATAAACCAAAATTAGTTATCCTTCTCACTAATTCTAAAATTATTGAGACTTCATATTTTACCTGATTCTATCCGTTCTCTTACAGTGAACATCTGCAAGATGTTTGAATTCTAACCTCATAAGGATCTGGTAATTTATATCTACTCAGTAGAAAAGGGAACAGTGAACATGAAAAATCAGATATTCTCTACTACTTCTGAAATATAAAACTTAAATAAATGTACTAGGTTGCTAAATCAAGTAACCATGAAAAAGACAGAAATTTATCAATTTTTTATGATAAAAAGTTATCGCAGTTAGATCCACAGTGAATTTTGAATTCAAGTCACTTGAGGTCTAAAAGCCAGCTTAGGGAAAATGGAAATTTCAAGCCACCGAAAGGCTGTTTAATGTCAAAAAATAATTAGTGGCTACTAATTGATAACAGAAAAGGAAAAATGAAAGTTAAAGTGGAAAGAAGTGTTGAGGGATGAAAATTCACCTAATCACTAACCAACAGCCGTCATCCTTCTCTGAGGAACGCAATGACTACCACACCTTTCATGTGTCTTCTACAGTACGTCTCAGAGTGCAAACCTCTTCCATTTTCACCCCAACAATAATAAACCAAAAAAGTAAAAACACTTAAAACATGCTTTTAAAGCTCAGGTTGATCCTGTAGCATATTAGATGCAGTAATGGAAGTAAGAGAGGCAAAGGCGATTTCAGCAAAAGCTATTAACTAGTCTGTGTGTTTTACTTGCAATGTGAAAATGGCATTGCTCTCTCAAGCCGCCTTTCATAAAATCTGTTGGCGCATTAGTTTCTCAATTCTGCTTGTTCTTAATATTTGTGTTTCTCCCAGCACATTTGTCACGTGGAAAATGGATACACATTAAAATACGGGAGACTTGTTTACCTAACGTGAAAAATTTCTCAGTTGTGTTTTTTAATCCTTTTGAAAATGCTTCCACTGGTCTTATAACAGATATTTAGCAAATAAAGTGTTATCTTACCTCCAACAGCAAAAGATACTAAGCACTGGAAATATGTGATTCATTTTGGAAACAGAACTAAAATTGCCTCAACAAAGTTCTCTTAATATGGCCTTTATACATTTTGGGTACAGAATGTCTTTGACTATGGAATACTGTCTCCGAACCTATTCAGATATATTGTAACATGTGATACATGTATCAGAATGCATTTTGTTGCAAATAACATATATAAATGTATTTTTATATTTTATTTTTATATATTATTTGCAGTAAAATAAATATTGAATTTCTAAATCTGAGTTGCCTAAAGATCTCCAATGCTGAGAATCCTTGTGTGTTTGTGACTAAGTCATGAACCCTAACCTGCACGCACTGAATTGTATTTGAATTTTCTTCCAAACTGAGAACCTTGCAGGGCCATTTTTCATGCTAGTTCACAGCTGTCAGTTTCAAATCCAGGATCTATTTCATGGCAGGCCAGAAAAGCCAAGAACATTCTGAGCAAAGGGATTGTTAAAAGAAAGTGAAGCTGTAAGTATGTTTAAATTGAATTGTAAGCCAACTGCAGCCTTATTTAGTGGAGCCCAGACCACAATACCCTGAACCTACAGTTTACTTGAGAAAATCAGAGATACCCACAGCAGAAAGTATTTTCCTGGAGTCCAGAAGACTGTAGAAGAAAGGTGCAAATGAAGGGGTAATTTTTATACAGATAGTCTGTTTGATCAAAGTCTTCTCGTTCTTTGATTGCACTTTCCTTGACTTTCTCTGCTATATACATGAAATGAACCAAAATTTGACTTGAATACATATGATTTTAAAATAATATTACAAATTTAAGAAAATTTATCATGTAAAAATATTCTCTTACTAGTAAAATAAACATCATTTTTTATGTTATAAAATAGCAACCCAATTTAATTACTTTAATATGTGTTTTCAAGTGTCATGAAAATGATATATATTTTATTTATTTTGAAAGGAGTACTTAATATTTTTCACAAAACAGTACAAAGAAACTTTTTGAATTATATCTCCAATTTCTCTAGACCAAATTCTAGTTCATTTCTGTGTTGGATATTTTCAAGCCTTTTTTATGCAAGTTACAACTACATCTTGTCTTTCAGAAAGAGGAAGAAAATCAAACTAACTCTTTGGGCACTTTAAAACATTAATCTAGAGAATTCAATTTATTTTACTTCTTTATGTCTTAAGTTTTCATCATCTCTATCTTACAGAACAAGGACAATGTTTGCCTTAAATTGTAAAGTTCTATCTAGTTCAGTGCATTTTCTACCTCAGGCATTACTTGGCAACACTATGATTATCAAAGTGAATGAGAAGAGAAAGTGACGTCTACTCTGCTGGGTGAAAAACAATGTCATTGCCATCCTATTTATTGTTGAACGTTAGCAAAGATGAACAGAAATTGTCTCTGGTGATCCAAATGACAGATTCAAGAGTCTGAAGCCCAATATCAAAATCACCTCATTGCCTTCTTACAATATATCAAACTGAAGCCTCAAATTGAAAATAAATTATATCTAAATGATTCCATCTCAATACATAAAACTGTAAAACACCCATGGGTTTTTTGCATTTCCCTTCTTTGTTAGGAAACCTTGTTGATTCTGATTGTCATTTATAAGGGGACAGTATAGGGCTTCAGAAAACAAAATTTCAGTGCTCAGAGGTGGATATGTAGCTCACTCAGAGTGCATAGGGATTTGAATTTAACATTCATCTCTAAAATACAAACAAGCACACACACTTACACACACATTTATTTTTCAAGTATGACATACCAACAAAAGGTACTAAATAACATATTTTTGGTTAGCAATTTGTTATAATTCTTATGTGGCATATGGCAATTTTGCTAAAATATGATGGGAAATATAAAATTAAGATACATTTCATGATTTATTATATTTTAATTATACATATGTGTCATTGTGTGTGGATGTCCAAACAATTGCAGGCGCTCATAGAGACCAGAAAAACCGGTTTCTCCTGGAACTGGATCTTCAGAAGGTTTAAAGTCCTCAGGAGTGGGTGTTGGGAAAGTAACCAGAGTCTACCTCAAGAACAGCACATGCTCTAATGATGGGCCAGTTCCCCAGCCCTAGAAATTTAGCTCACATTTAGTAATTGCATTTAGCAAGGTAAATTGATGATGCTAATATTATAATAAACAAAGTGCTTATGGCATTGTATATCATGAGCACATTAAAATTTACCTTCAGATCAGACCATCTTGTCATTTCTATTTTATACTAACATATATATTATATATAAATATATAAGTATATATATGTACATATAGGATATTTGCTATATGCATTCTAATTTTACTATAAATTTTGGTAACATAAGAATTACTATGATTGCCTATAGTGCAAAATACAGATAAAATGACAGTTTTTTCCTTAAAAACAGTTCTGACCTATAAGAGAATTGGGTGGCCTTAAACTCATTATCCTCTAGTCACAGTCTCTAATATGGAGGAGTGACAGGTATATACAACCATGCCTGGCTAATTATCAATTTATTGAATAAACAAAAGTGTAATGAGGAATTTGTTATATAATTAAATAATGTATCATTTTTCTATTGCAAATAATTCAGATATTTT